TATGTTGCAAAACGACTAGAGGAGATTTTGGGCAAAAAGGAGATAGACGTTTTGGTTCTTACTCACGTCCACATAGATCACCATGGTGGGTACAAGCGTGGTGGTATATGGTCTTTAATAGAGAACTATGGCTTCACTTTCAAAAAGTATGTCGATAGAGATATTGGGACTTACAATGGCAAACATTTTTCAGACTGTGATAAAGACACGATAGATTGGAAGTATGTAGGATCGTCATCTTCAACAGCAGTGCAATGGGTTTGTTATGCGACGTCATCAATTGATAAGACAAAACTCTCTTCAATTCGAGAAATAGCTCAAAGCTGTAGTACAACACAGATACAGCCTCCAGATGCCAATTCTGAGATACAAATTATCATGCACGACGCTTTGGGTGTGAATCGACCAAAAGGAGATCCAGTTGCTGCTAATCTTATTGACGACCCAGAACCTCCAAATGAAAATGATTACTCAATTTGCTTACGTGTGAAGTATGGAAACTTCGTATATGCCACTTGTGGAGACTTGGACGGAACATTTATCACATCCCCGTCACTCCACTACTACGATGACATCGAATCACCAACAGCTCCAATGATGGGAGAAGTCGACTTGATGAACGTTAACCACCACGGCTCAGAGTACTCATCAAACGAAAATTGGACGCAAACACTGAAACCTACAGTCTCCGTCATTTCATGCGGTCTTAACAATAAGTTCAACCACCCACACATCAACGCAATGACCCGAATTAATGAAATTTCGGAGAATATTTTCCTCACAAATGACTGTTACGCCCCATCAACAGATCCATTCCCAAATGCAGTTAAAGTAAATGGAGATGTCATTGTTATTGTGCCCGAGAACGGTACCAGATTCCTTGTTAAAAACCAAGACGCAACTATCGTCAAAACGTATGTGATTAAGAAGAACAAAGCTGCCAAGACAAAGTGCAAAGAACTTTAACAAACATCTTTTCAGTTCTTTATTTTATTAAAAACAAAGATGATAAAACTTATTCCAATTATTTTAAAAAATGTGTTTTATGAATATAAATAATTTTGTGGTGAGGTTAATATGATATTATTAATGTGGATTGAAATCAAATGAAAACAAATTATTCGAACTGAATAGAGTATTATATGATACTTTTATGTTTGTTGACTATATCAACGGCTTACAACTTTTGTGAACAACCAGACGAACACGATACTGTTAGTAAAACTGATGTGAATACATTAACAGAGGAAACAACACATCAAGAATCGGAACATTTTCTAGTACCAGTACAAAGTCAAATACTTGATGTCAGTATAAACAGAATTACAGAGGAAATGCAAACTGATCTGAAAATCATTAAAGAATATGGTCTATTCTGGCCGCAAATACTTAACATTGCTATAAATAGATTCAGACGATTTGGTCCTCTAAAAAACGAACCAGTTATTGGGTTGTTGGAATTTATACTGAAAGAATATGAAGAAATGTTTGCAATTTTTGATCTATTTACAGAGCAAAATGGGTATAAAAACGAACAAATAGAACAACTTTCACAATTAATTTTATCATACTTTAATAAAGACGCTCCCAACAACTATCAATGGAAATACATTCAACACCTTTTAGAGACAATGCAAAAGGTAAACAATGCACTAATCAAAGGGAAGTATAAGGCCATTCTTCGAATTGAATTGCAGTTGCCTTCGACACTTTTTAAAGCATTTTTAAATTTTTTGGAAAGAGTGGCTGCAATACAACATACAAACGAAATTGCACACCTTAAAGAAGCGATAAAACTGTTTGAGTTCTTTAGTATAGAAGTTTTAAAAGTTGCACAAGAAGCAAAGGAAAAGTATAATGTAGATGAAGAGAAACTTCACAAACTCTTTACACGAATAAATCTGAGCGAAAGAGAAAGAAGGAAAGTTATAATTCCTCCTGAAAAATTAAGAAGGAGAGAGGCCAGAAAGGCTGAAATACTTAACAAACAAACTCAAAAACGAAGTGATGAACAAACTAATATTTAAACAATTTTTTTGTGAATTATACAAATAGACATTAATTTAAAATTAATTAGTGTCAATCAAATAAATAAAAAAATGTTTAATAAAAAGGCAAAAATTAAAAAATAAAACTATATAATAAACAATTCTTTAAAGGTTGAATGTACCTACGATTTCATATTCTGATTTTTGTAGTGGTTGTGAGAGCGTTGATAATAAACACGCCGTGTGTACCACAGATGTATGTGATTGATGAAGATGTGATGTTTGAGCATGAAGCGATGGGTGAATTTGCGGATGTAGTGAGCCTTCACAAGTGTTATGAAGAGATGGGTGAGTTGAGGAAGAATGTTTATGGTGTTCGTGTCAAAGCGGAGTGTTATGTGTACTCGACACAGATGCACATCCACACGGAGAGGCGGAACATCTCGCGATGTGGGCATTGCATGTCACTTGTTGGTCCATCGTTGATAGCGACGCAGTGTATGATAGCGGGGTATTACACTGTAGACGAGCAGTATGCGACTGCGATGAATGCGGAGGGGCGGTTGTCGTACATTGTATTTCTTAACAAGGAAAGTGTCAAGCGGATGTCATCAGGAACGGCATTCAAAGCAACGGAAGCAACAGCGTCGTACACGTCGTGCAATTACGCGACATTTCCCGTGTTGACAGTGCTTGCCACAAACTCAACACACACCAAATTAGTTGTGTACAACACAAATGAGCGTGTTGTGTCGATCAGCAACGGGACTGTATCATCGGACATTGATGGTGATGGCTATTTCACGCTGCAAACAGCAGAAAACAGAACGATAGAGAAGGTGTGTGTGACTTCATTTGAAGGGCAGCGCACCTGCTTCAGTGCAGTCACAACAACACCGAGAAACACGTACGTTGCGTTGTCTCGATACACCCCACCACTTGAAAACAAGACGTGCGAATTTCTGCCACAACTGATTGCTTTCTCAACAACAACAAACTACTCCTTTGTGTCAGCACCTTTCAGATACAAAATAGCCGCATTGCATCTCACCCCACCTATCAATTCAAATT